ATAAAATTTCCAGAAAACAAATTCAGCTGGGAAATCTACAGAAGCAACACAGCAGTGCTGATTGATTCTTATTTCAAGGAAGGGTACTAGTTATTTGCAGTCCCATTAGGGCTTAATATGTTCAATAGACATATTTTCTTTCAATGCATTATTACTACTTGTCTTATTATCAATACAGTCCCTATTCAAGCCAGCCATAATTTCCACTTTTTAAAAGTTGTGTCAATGAGTCAATGAGTTATGTACAACGACATTTTATTTTCAATAGCTCTTTCAGGTAATTGCTTTGACTAAAGCTGGCTTTAGCACCAAAAGAAACTCTTGGAATAAGAGGTAATCTTGTTTCAGGGAAGAAGTTAAACAAAAGAAAATCACTGAAGCTTAGAAGAGTCCTGTAATAGTTCAGATTTAATCTTGTTAGCTCAGTAAGTATTACAATTATGGCTAAAAACTCCAATACATAACCTCCACTTTTTCTATCAATTAATGACTAGCTGGATAGTGAGACCAGTGGCAAAGGATGGATGCATGGCACAAGATTTTTCTTCCTCTACTCTACTGATATATTCATTTGTTGCATTTTCCTAAACCTTAATGGTTTGGATTCTGGGCCAGAAATTCTGTCTGAATGCTACCTAAAGCTCTGCAGTTACCAGGAAACTGGCATTTTAAACCTTCTGCAGCTAAAACTTGTTCACACAACATGTTTATGAAGTGTCAGATGTGACAGAATGCTGTAGTTACAGCACCACACAACCTCCATTCCTAACACTGAGCCAACATTGTTTCTTCCCCACTTTCACCTTTTTCTAACATGTTTTTCCTCAAATTCTAGCCTCCTTACCCAGCCCCAACCCTAACACCCCTTCAGGAGATCTCCCCTTCCTATTAATTCTTTCTCCAAAGCAGCTTTTGTACAACCATCATGTCCCCACACACCCTTCAAACTTCCTCTCCTTCCACCCCCCTCACCCCCTTGTTCCTGACCTATTGGCTCAGTGAATCTTAACATTTTCAAGTTTGGCTTTGAATCTGCTGCTATTTCTCTTCCTATCAGCCTCATCTCCAGTCCTGACCACCCTGCCTGCTTTCCTGCTACCCAGTTCTCAGCCCCCAGTAAGGTGTGACCACCCATGAGGGGACTCAGAGCACACAGGACTGACATTTCCAGTGCTCCAACTGGAATCCAAGCACAAAACAAGCAATAACACAAACTCAACAGTCACAAAGAGTCCTGTTCCCTATGGAGAACATTTTTTGAGGGAACTAAGTCACAAAAGCACTGCAGTTTCTACCAAGAACCATTTGAGTTTTCAGTGGCTTCTAAATTGGTTTGCCATGGCAAGAGGAATATGCCTGACACTTCCAGGTCTGCACCACAACTGGTGTCAGGCACCCAATACCAAAGAAGGTCACTGGAGTGGCACTGGACTGAACACTTACATGGTGCATGTACAGATAATGTACATGTACAGATAATGCCACAAGGACCCAGGCAGTTGTTGGGAGAGGATTGGGCTGAAACGACCTGGAAGTGTTCAAGGCCAGGGTGGATGGGGCTTTGAGCAACCTGGTCTAGAGGAAGGTGTCCCTGCCCATGGCAGGGGGGTTGGAAGATGATTTTTAAGGTCCCTTCCAACCAAAACCATTCTCTGACTCTATGAAATGCCTGGTTGCACAAAATCACAAATAACAGAGCAAGGGACTGAGGGAGAAGCGCTCAGGAACCTCACAAACCTGAACTAAACTATCAGAAAAGCTGCATCAGGCTGTGAAGATCCATTTCACTATTCTCCTTCCACACAAAACCAGAGGAGCATTTTTGTCTATAATCCGCAAGAATTCATATCTGGAAGCTTTTTAAAATGCTCTTCTAATAAGATATTAAGTCACGAAAAAAGATTAACAACTTAGAGGAGGTAAGAAAAGGAACTAGAAGTGGAAGAACGGAAGGGAAACTAATAGAGAAACTGAGCTGCTATTGTGCATTTAATGTTCTTGGAAAAATGTGCACACACAGGTGCTGTATGTTCACCCAGCAGCCAACTGTGACCAGGAGCTCGCTGGAGCTGCACTTTCAGAAGGCACATTCACGAGGGGTCACGCCAATTACCACCACACCACTTCCAGGGGAACGCTGCTTTTGAAAGCCCCTATCAGTTTCATACGAGGGTCTATAAAAAGAGCAGGGAAAGAGTTTTAATACATGGATTAACATGACAAGGTTGGATTTCATGAAAGAAATTCTGCTAAAGAAACGGGAGAAGTGATCGACTGCGTCATTCTGCACAGATATAAAGGACGGGTGATCCCATGGGACTGGCATCTTCTTTGAAAAGCAGTATATAGAATATTGGGCATATTCAAGAATACAAGTTAAAAAACACTGCAGAACAGAACACTTAAAATAGCAGGTTGTGCTATTACAAATGGTAATATGGTCTGCACCAGACCATTATCCCTACATCTTGAATTAATAAATTAATTTATTTCCCTTCAGGCAATGAATAAGGGACGTAAAAAGATGCCCCATCACTGGAAGTGTTCAAGGCCAGGTTGGATGGAGCTCTGATCAACCAGGTCTAGTGGAAGGTGTCCCTGCCCATGGCAGGGAGTTGCAAAGAGATGAACTAGAAGGTCCCTTCCAACCCAAACCATTCTGTGATTCTTAACAGAGCATGCAAAAATGTGACATTAAGGACATTTCAGCTCTAAAACAGTCTATACCCTCAAGGTGCTAACAGATCATCCACATTTAGGGAACTTTCGAAGGACAGGCTATAAATGGGTGAATGCTTGACATCAAAGCAGTTTCAAACTCAAGGTATCTTCAAACATAGTTGTTAACAATGTTTGTAGAGTCCTTTTCTTCTGAGGATAAGCGAGAACAGGAGTAGAGCATTTATTGCTCTAACAGCAATGGCTGGAAACTACTCGTGTTTAGAGCTATTAGAAAAAATATTTTGTAAACCAGTTCTACAGTAATATAAACAGGCTGATAAAAAGACATTAGAGCAATTACTTTCAGCAAGACTGCATCATCTTTTATCAAGTTTACATATAAAAAAATCAGAGGATGTTCAAGAACAGCTTAACTAAAAGCATAAAATATTCCAGTCTTTCTTACCACATGAAATATCTTTAAACCACAAGAAGCACCTTAGCAAGATTCAAATAAAATGTACACTATATAACAACCTACACAGAACAATTCAGAATATCTCAAAGGAAGACAACTGCTGCTATGCTTGCTTTAAGTCTTCTGTTGTGAAACAGGACAAAACTGAACCCCCCCAACAACTGATGACAAAGTTTTAACGACTGACTGCACCGTGTCAAAACTGCAGCAATTCAGGTCTGCAGTTTCACAGCTCCTGCTGCGCTTTCTCACTAAAGTTATTCATCGTAATGCTTAACGGTAGGTAAAAAAAAACTGTTTATGGACTGCTCAGAATTTTATTTAGCTCTTCTCCCATTACTAGCAGCCTGTGAAAATGCTGTCACAGCCTCCCTCAATGTTTTAATCACAGCTTAGTGAAGATCATATCAGAAGAAAGCAGAAAATGTTACAGAAGCAGACTAAAAAGAAATTAATATTAAAAGTTTTCCTTGACAAATAATACAATCTCAAAAAATAAAGTGCTTTGATACCTTAACTATATTAAAAGGCAGCAGATTTAAAACCTGTAAAAATACTACTTGCAATAACAGTGTTTACATGCCTAAAAGTTTCAGGATAGATTCCTGATTTCATGGCAGGTGCAAGTGAGGAATACCAGGAAGCAGAAGAAAGACCAAGCACAGTTGATGATAGCTGACTCAGAGAGCATGGTGAAGGTATGAAGTACAAATGAAAATTGGTTTACAGTATATTTCTTCAACGATTTCTGCTTCCATACTCTTCCTCCCAAAAATCTGCCCCATTAATATATCCTAGTTACACTTTGTAAAGCTAATGAAAGTAAGCTTCAGTGAGACTGGCAAGCACCTGCTGATGCACAGCCTGATCCATCCGGACCAGAAGGTTACAGAGGCTGCCTACCAGGATGCATTTGTTCTGAAGAAGCATCGAAGTATTCCTGATCTTATGATTTGGCAAATTCTCTAAAGCTTATAATAATGTAGTAGTTTTGTGTTGTCAATTCCTCTAAACCACTCTTAACATTCACCACTTAGACTCTAGTTTTAACTGACTACAATATTTCACTTAATACATTATTCAGATGTTTACTGTCCAGGAGACAGGTTGGGACCACTGTGATCCATCAAGTGGTCTATTTCTTAAAGATGGCAGTTTAGATAACGTCAAGGAGGATTTTCAAAATAAGATTCTATTAAAACTACACCATTACCACTGAAGAAACTGGTTTCATTTCAGGCAGAAATCACAGTAGTCTCAGTTGTTCAAACTGGCGTTCTCCATAAACCCCAGTATTTGTCAAAAAAAACCCCAACTGATTGACAACAGCTTCACTTAATTAAAAGAAAACTTATTTGGAAGCTCTGCCCAGTGTTCAGTACTGCAAACAAGAGCATTTTGGGCTGGCTATGAGAGTAACAACTTGATGGCTTCAGTCTTTCTTGGTCTGGATGGGCAGCTTAAACAGCGCTTTTAGGAATTGCACACTGAACAATCGTGACTTCACGCAGCTGCCAAAGCCATCCAGATGCACCTCTCGCAGCGCGATGGCTATGCAGCTGTTCTGAGATTCACGGCAACGCTGTCCCCAAATACTGCCAACTATCGCTACCGACTGTCTGTAATTAGTTTAGGAATAACACCTTCACCCGCTCAATACGCCCAGCCTACTGGGATCCGCGCTGGAAAGCACATTATGCTTCGCCGAGCCGTTATTCAAGCCAGCACTCTCAGATCATGGATTTATTTTATTTTCCTCTGGGCAGGCTCTTCCTCCCCGTCTGTCAAGAGCTCTCGAGGAAAGCCTGCCCAGCCCAGGCAAAGGCCAAACCACCCGGCAGCGAGCGAGGGGAAGCGTTACCTCCGTTGATGGGGACGGGAGTCACCAGCAGCCCCTTGACCTCCACCTTGGGGGAGTCCTGCCCGTAGCGGCCGCGGTCGATCCGCAGCAGCGTGGGCCCGCCGCGCTCGGGGCTCAGCACGGTCACGTTGATGAGCGCGGTGTAGTACGCCTGGCTCGCGTTGTCGGCGCCGGCCGGCCGGACGCGGCCGTGCCACAGCAGCAGCGGCAGCAGCAGCAGCACGGAGGAGCCGCCGTTCCAGTGCTGGCGAGCCCACCGCCAGCTCATCTTCGACTCCCTTCGAGCCGACGGCCGTCACCGGTTGCCACCGCCGCTCCCCCGAGCCCCGCACGCCCGGGTGTGTCCTATCCCATCTGACAGCCCGGGAGCGAGGAGAGACCAAAAGCAGGCGGAGCGGGGAGGAGAGCTCGGGCTCATGCCATGGGAGGAGCCAGGGGAGTCATGGCAGGTCCCAGTTGAGTGCGATCCGCCGCCGCGGCTCCCACGGGATGCTGCTCGGGGGCAGCCGCGCTCCGCCGGTCCCTCGGGGCTCCGCCGGTCTCTCAGGGCGCCGCGCTCATGCCGCCCGCCCACCGCTGCCCAAGCTGGGCGAGGGGAGGGGAGGGAAGGGGAGGGGAGGAGGCGGGGGCGGCTCCGCGGCCCCCTCCCCGCGCAGCCCCGGGGAGGCCGCCGGGAGAAGCCGCTGCCGCCTAAGCCGCGCTCGCACAGACCGCGGGGCTCGCCTCGGGCTCGGCCCGCCGCGCCGCCTCGCTTCGCCTCGGGGCTCGTCGCCGCCTCAGTGCGGCCGGAGGCGCAGCCCGGTGCCCAGCCCGGCGGCAGCAGCCCGCGGCCGTCGCTCCATGCCCGGCTCGCCCGGGGGCGGCGGGGCCCCCGCTCCGTCCCGCGGCTCCGCCACCGGCCCCGCGCCCGCGCCTCGACTGCAGCCCCGCGCTCCGCGCTCTGCGCAGGCGCCGCACGCCCCGCCCCGCGCCACGAGGGCGAGAGGCGGGGCTGGGGCCGGGGCCACGCCCACGGGGGCGGGGTACGGCTAAGCGGGCGGGGCTCTATTGTATGACGTCATCGCGGGCGTTGCCATGGTGGTGGTGGGAGACCAGGCTGGGGTCCAGAGACCCGCAGTTCCGTAAGGGATTAGATCACAGAATGAGTTAGGTTGGGAAAGACCTCTGAGGTCGTCGAATCTAACCTGTGACCGAACACCACCATGTCAACAAGGCCATGGCACTGAGTGCCACGTCCAGTCTTTCCTTAAACACCTCCAGGGACGGTGGTTCCACCACCTCCATGGGCAGCCAGTTTGATGTCTAATCAGCCTTTCTGTGAAGAAATTCTTCCTGATGTCCAACCTAAACCTCCTTTGGCAAAGGGACACCTAAGGGCTCCCATGGCTCCTCAGCGACTTTTCAGAAAAATATTTCCAGCTCAGGAGCACTGACCATCAAAAAGATACAAGAGAGGGTTTAAAAGTATGTCTGAAATGGGCTGTATGTGTGAGAAGGAGGTGGGGTGTGTTCGGTCTGTCCAGGTAGCCCTGAAAGGGCTCTCAGGGCAGGAGCAGCACAGCCTGTGTGTCAGGATTGGGTCACTCCTGCCCAATTTCGAGTTACTTGCTTCTGATGTACGAAAATGGGAAATTGTACAAACACTCAAACGTTGTTAATAAGTACTAATCCCATGAAATACTGTAAAACAGGGCTCGATAAATTATTCTCTTTAACTAACTTAGTTTTAAGGATTTCGGCCTCTTTGGAGATGTAACATAATAATGTAATTGCCTTTTTGTATTTTGAAAGGCAAACTATCTGAAAATTAGTTATGGCAAAGAGGACAACTACTGCAGGACTGTGAGTTAGGATATTTTCTGTTTCTGAACGAATAGCTGTCCTGCTGTTCTTTTGAGATATGGTCTCCTCAGTGACTTCCCCAGCTGCTCAGGGAGTCCCTCAGATAAGCCTGGTGTTTGGCCCGTGCATCTTATTGAACAGTTTTCTTCTGGAAGGTTTTGTAGTTTATCCATTTGTGATGCACTTGGTCACACATGCACAAGATAACACCATCGGAGCACAGTCTATTTATTTCGCTGAGATGCAAGTAGTGGGTCTAATCCTGCCCTTGGGGAGACCTGTTCCATTCCCAAGGAAAGCAGCAGGCTGGCAAACCTGAATCTCAGAGCAGAATGGATCTGTGGGCTCTGCTAAAGGCATGTGTGCTTCTGTAAAATCCTCTGAGAAGCTGTTTCTGCAAAGCTCTGTAGAAATGTCAATACAATCCAGGAAATGTTTCTGAAGCAGCAGCCGAATGTTCTCCTTACACTTTTTTTTAAATTTAATTTTGCTCTTCTTGGTAAATGCTGGGTGAGGAACAACACGCCATCAATGGCCTTCTCATTTCACCCAAACTTTCACCTCAGCCAGAGGGCAAGAGTTGTGTCAGACACACTGATACTGCACTGGGCAGAACATGTTTTGGAGCTGTTCTTGCTTTGATTTCTCAGCATTAAGAGCTCTGCATCATTCTGATGCAAAGTCACGTGCTTTATCGCCGAAATGTCCTCAGAAGGGGCCAGGGAGTCCTGGAAGCCTGAAGGATTCTTCGCTATTACTGCACTGACCTTTGGAGAAGGACCTCAGAGCACTTTTGAAAAGCACTAATGAAACATTTGTTGGCCGCATTAGCAGGAAAACAAGGGGCCAAGCCAGCGAATTCCCAGTTTTCTTTGCTAAGCACAACAAGCAGCTGCTTTTTATTTTGCTCTGCCTGGTTCCCTGTGGGCTGTGTTTCTGCTGGGGAGACGTGGTCTGCCATGCTCCAGTCCCTGTGGGAGGGCTTCCTGCTTGGTTCCATCCCCATCTCCATCCCTCCTCACGCAGCTGGGAGGCTGCTCAGTGCCATTTGCAGGGCCACGAGTGCTCGTCTGCTCCTCACCCGCCTCCCAGCCTCTGGACATCCTATGGATGGCCTGGGAGGCAGCTGAGGAGCAGCCGAGCACTTGTGGCTCCAGGAGAGAAGCCTCGGGAGAGGAGCCGCCTAGCAATGCGTGAGGATGCGCAAACCTGGGATATTTCATGAGCAGAGCAGGTTCAATCCCCTCGTTCCCCACAGGGACAGGTCCCTGGATGGGGAGGGGAGAGGTAGAAGGTCCTTTTGGCTGCTTTCACCCCATGGTGGAGCTGGATGAAGGGATGGCAGTGGAGAGGCTAGAGCAGAGAAGCCCATCCCCATCACCTCAGCCGTGCCTCTGCCACCGGCCGCTCCTCACGGGACATTATTTTAGGGAGACAAATGGCACCGATGCCTTCACAGGTCACCCCAGGGCTGAGGAGAGAGCTGTGACTGAGCGTTCCTTCCAGCCCACGGTGATATCTTAGGGGAAATGGTCATGATTCCATTAATATCCCCTCCGGCAGCGAACACCACCCTCACAGCCGCCCTTGGCTGCGCTCCCAGCTGTGACAGGCCACGCACCGCCCGCCATCTTCCCTCCCGCGCGGGGCCCGCGCCCGCCGCCGAGGACAGGGCGCCACCTGCAGGCCGCCGGCGGCACCGCGAGGGGCGGCACCGGGGGCGGGGGCGAAGGGGGGCCGGGGGCCGGTCCTGAGGAGAAGGGGGCCCCGGGGGGGTGTTGATGTTTGGAGCAGAAGCAGGGTCCGGGGAGCCGGTGCCCTGAGGAGAAGGGGGTCCAGGGGGAGTCGGTGCTCAGAGAAGGAGGATCCGGGGGGTCGGTCCTGAGGAGAAGGGGGTCCAGAGGAGTTTGGTGCCCTGGGGAGAAAGGGGGGGTCCGGGAGGGGTCGGTACTCTGACAAGGGGGGTCCAGGGGTTTCTGGGCCCCCCAGCGTGGTGAAGGAGGGCGGGAGGGTCCATGGGGGCCGGAGGGTCCCAGACCCCCAGGGCTGAGGCGACAGGGAAGGGTCACGGATCCGAGGCTCAGGGCTGGGTGCTGAGTGCTGGATGCTGGGTGCTGAGTGTGAGTGCTGAGTGCTGGGTGCTGAGTGTGAGTGCTGAGTGCTGGGTGCTGGGTGCTGGATGCTGAGTGCTGAGTGCTGAGAGCTGAGTGCTGGGTGCTGTGCTGCTGGCTCCTGCCACCGAGCTTGGGAGCGTATCCGGCTTCACCATGAGAAAAGACGGAGTTTCATCCTGGATGGAAACACCACAAAGGCCAGCTGTTTCCGAGAGGATGCGGGGAAATGCAAACGGGCGCAAAGTAAAAATAATAAACCCCCAAATGTGCTGATGGCTTGGCCAGGGCTGGGCTGCCCGGGGCTGCAGGGGCAGTGGTGGCCCCAGGAACCAGAGAGCAGCTGCCAGTTATGACTTTATTCATTTTCACATTTAGATATAACAACAAAACTCTTAATGACAAAGGATAACAAGTACTATAGGAGGAGAGGAAAGGAAGCAGTGTTCTAACTGGTTTGATATATAACTGTGAACTTCCAGAGAGGAGACTCAACGTGAGTTATAAACACTCACATATGCTCACTGGTAGGAAAACTCACGTGCAAACACCCCCACACTCACACATAACACACTCACATACACACAGACCACGCTTTGTACTCGCACATAACCCATGTTGTAACCTACTTGCTTCAAAGGCAGCCAACTGAAACACTGAATGCTGCTGCAGCAACAACAGGTACCAGGTTAAAGTATTGCAATATAAATGAAATGTTACTTGATACACAGGTTTTTCTTCAGAGACCCACATGTATTCGCAAGTAGGGGACCCAACATATTGTTTTCAGGAGGGAGGAATGTCCTCAACACCAACATTTTGTAAGAAAAAATGAGGCTGAGCATAGAGCGGAAACAGTCATTTTAAAGGAAGGTGGTGATGATGATAAATAGCTTAGCTTCAGTGTTGAGTTCCAGTAAAAAGCCCAAACAAAACAAAACAAAACAAAACAGAGAGTGCATTGTGAACAAGCAGGCACAATTACCGAGCCCTGGGTTTTAAAAGTTGAAATACTCCCTTGTTGCTGTGGAAAGACAGAAAACACTGTTGTCTCACATCTTAAAACCAAAACAGACCAGCTTCACTTCATGCTCATGCTATCTGGAGACTGTAAAAATAAAAAGCCAGAAATAATGCAAGAGAGTGGGAAGGGTTATCAGGTTTGTACATCTAATTTTAGTATACTTTTAGAGAGCAAAAGTACAATTGTCTCAACAGCTCTCCAATATCCCACACTACAGTTCTTCATCACAGGAGTGTCTGAAGAGGAGCCAGGGTTTGCTCCTATCAAGCTGCATTGTTCATGCAACGCTGTTGACACAGATAAAATAGGATCTGATTCAACCCCCACCCATCAAGATGGTGCGAGACAGAGAAAATAAACTTCTGTGGACTTGAATGTTCAAAAATCAGATGTCACACCAGCGCTTTCCCCAGGGTGAAATAGGGGATCGTTAACAATGGCTCTAATGAAGTAACCCTTCTCCACAAAGATGCTTGTGAGCAATTTACAGCTAAACCTAGAGACAAAGTGCAGCTGTCCTGGCTGGATGGCCACACTGACAACGAGCCTGGGCGCTCGGATGCCTCTGTCCCCTTTCTGCTGAGTAATTCTTCTGCTGTCCTGCAAGCTGGGCTTTGCTAGTACGTATCTATCCCTCACATATGGACAAGGACTTGCAGCTACTTTGGAATCCTGTTTTTCAACTATTATTTTCTTTGTAGTCCTCTTTCTTGGGCCATCTCTCAGATGGGACTGTGTTTCCAGGCAGAGAACTCTTGTGGAGCACTGGAAACAAGAGAGCCTGGGCACATCATCCAGTGAGCAGCCTGAATTTAGCTCAGCCCGCCACCTTCTACCCATGTGAATGCCAGTGGAGACCTCCAGCAGCACAGGGCACTTGCAACCTTCCTTCTGCCAAGGGAACCACCAGTTCAAAAACCAGGGCAAGATGAGGGCAGAAGAATTTGGTCTGGCCTACGCCCCGTTGGCCGTCCTGCTTACTTGGCCTGGCTCTCCAGCATCTCCTGCCAGAGGATTCTTACTGAGTCACAACAATTACTTAGAGATGCTTAAATTCCTGGCAACTTCAGGGGACACCAGTAGAAGTCAGGGAATTAATTGTCACATGCGGTTTTCAATTCCACATCTTGAGCCAGTTTGGCTCAAGCTGGTCCACTTTTGTGCCTCTTTTTTGCCATGGAAATCGCAGCCATGTCATCCTGCTGACACAAAAAGGGAGGGGAACTGCGTGCTGCACAGGCTTAGAGAATCTGAATGACAGGCGTGCTTTTCCCATGTGCTAAATAAATCTCCCCATTACACTTGTGCAGAGAACTATAATTAAGACTTGGCAACATCATCCGTAAGGACTCTCAGGGCTTACGTCGGGAAACGCGCAAAACCCTCTGCTGGAAAAGAAATACAGTTTGGGAAAGCTGTACATCTGACAGGAAACACAGTTTTAAAAGTCCAAAGCCTTGGCTCTGTGACAAAGGTATGGCCTGCAAGCAGAAACTCCCTGGTGCTGAGATGCCCTGGTGCACAGAGCTCTGCCAGCCACGGGCATGTGGGAGAAGAGATGATGATAAGCTGTTCAGACAAGCCTCTTCACCCAGACTCCTGTGGCGGTGATGTAACCATGCTCTGTGGCTGAGCTCTTGGATTGGGAGCAGGATGGAAAGAAGTAGGTGGGAAGTGGTGAGGCAGCAGCACAGAAATCTAGAGAAGGGCTGTGGAGGTTCCTCAGAGCTCTGAATTCACATGGTATCTTTTAGAAACAAAAGGCCCAAGTGATGAGTTGTTTCCTCAGCAAACATGTTCCTTAATCCCCCAGAGACAGGTATGCTGGCAGCTCTGCAACAGAAACTGGAGAGGAGCTCTCTGGGCAGAGAGTGCCTCCTTCGAATCAGGGAATTTGGGCAACAGGAAAGGTCGTGGTGCAGAACTGTCCACCCAGGAGAATCAGGGCTCGAGCCTTGGCCAGGTGCTGCCGCCCATGTGCTCAGTGATGCCAACACACAGGGGGATGCAACCCAGGCACTTCATTGCTGGAGCTCTGTTCCTTCCATTGTTTCCAAAACGCTTGCAGCAGCTTGAAAATAAACATTTCACTCCCTACCCCTTTGATCCTTTTCCTCCCAGTAAACAGCCCATTTTCGCTCTGTGTTTGGAAGACAGCTGAAATTAACCCAGCTTTGCTTTAATTTCTCACTCGAGCAACAAATGATCTCAGCGCTGCTCTGGGAGAAGGGGAAGGCGAGAGCAGCAGACCTGTGAGTAACCTGCTCCCACCACAGATCATAAAACCCCTGTTTTGCACAGGGCCTGCAAAAAGAGTTGCTATTTATCTCACTGTGGGAACACTTTAGCCATCATCTGATGACCTGCTCAGCACTAGCTGTGTTGAGATGGCTAAAATAACCTTGGTGATAAGGTGGATGGGCAGGCTTCCCCCCAGCAGAGATGAGAGGGGTGTGGGTGTTGCTTGCAGAGGAGATGGAGAGGCTGGCACCTACTCAGAATGAGCAGCATGCACGAGCATTTACAAAGATCCCTTGGGATCTCTCAGTACACCTCTTTAAAATGTCCTGCTCTTGCTGCTAATACCACAAGGGATTTCTTCCTTTTGATTCTGCTCTGCAGCTCAGCAGCTGACATCATGAGGAGGGGAGGAGGAAGCAATCCAAGGAAAAACATTCAGGCTGCACACCAGGAAGAAACTTGAGACTAAAACAGATCTATTTATATCTGACCTGAAATGGGCTTTCTGAATGGGAAGCTGATCTGAGTGGAGGCTGGATGGCAGGCAGAAGGTGCCGTAGTGCTGAATACAGGCACCCACTCGCCGGCAGAACGCATCTGTCCGAGCCGCAGGGAGAAAGGAAACACGAGGAACCAGGGAGGTGCTCTCTGTAGTCCCGGCACGGGGAAGCTGTAGCTGGAGGTGCTGTATGAGCCATTGTGCTGCGGTTCCAAGGACATCAGTGTTCCCCATCCATTTGGGGTAGGTTCCCTGTTGGGTTTGGGCATAGATTGAAGGAGAAGCTCTGAGTGACCCTGATGACGTGCCTGGAAGGTAAGAGGGGACGCCTTGGCAAGCGCCTCCAGGGCCTGGTGCCATTAGTACTGCTCGGAGAAGAAAGAAGCGTGGAGAGTGGGGGGACTGGCCCCCTCTCCAGGCGGGGTGCAGCTGCCGTCCTCAGAGTGTTCTGACAGCTCCCCGTATTCACTGTTGTAAAAAGTCTGGCCTCCGACTTGGGACCCGTACGACGGTCGACATCTGCCCCGCAGGTCCGACTGTTCCCCTGTTCGACTGGGCCCTTTACTGCTGTGAGGGAGAGAGACACAGGGAATCAATCTGGGCACTCCTAGAAAGCCTCTGTCCTGCTTGGAGACATCCCAGCTTCAGGAAATCTCATCTGCTAATGCACGGGTCAGAGACAGGGTCAGGAATAGACTTATACCTCCATTTCAAAGCACAAAGCCAGGCCTTGCTCTAAATCTAAGCACAGCCTGCATGTTTTGTGAAGAATCTGCACATAACCTGGTGACAGAGTTACTTCAGCTCTTCTAGTTACCTTTGGGATACCTGCCAGATACAGGGAAGGGTTGGGGCCCCAGTGAGCAGGGAGCGACAAGAGACATTGCCTCAATTGCTTCTAGACCTGGCAGGAATAACAGAAACTGGTACAAACCAACAGCCAGGATGGGGGAAAGGAAATGAAGGAAGATGATGAAGATGATGTGGGAGGAAATTGGCAGCCCCATCTCAGCACCTACCAATACCAAGTGGCTGGCAGGAAGCCACAAGGGCAAGGGCAGGGACACATTCAAGGAAAGGTTTAAAGACAGTGTTTTCCAGGAGACAGGACACCAGGTGTAGGAGACAACAGGAACATGCCTTAGGGAAAAGAGGACAAGGACAAGAAGTAGGAGACAGCTTGATACAACAGCAGAGAAGCCACAGGTTTGTGGCTAAGAAAAAAGACAATGACCAGTCTGATCTGATGTTGGGAGGCAGAGGAGGTGAGGAAGAATCTTGGGACTGGCCTTGTCTACACATGAGCTGACATGGCTTGCTCAACAAACTGTCACCAAGACAAGGTCCCAGCCTGCTCTGGCACCAGGCAGAGATAAGCTAGACAGGTTCTCACCCACTTTCCAAGCCTGGGACAAGGACATAGCCATTCATAACATCCTCAGCCCTGGGAGTGCCAGCTCAACCTGCTGGGTTCTATATTGGCATGTGGGAAGTCCTAAGGCCTGTGCCATCCCTTCACCACCCCATCAGGGCCCTGAACCCCGTGGGTCAGGGCTGAGAGAGGGAGGGAGGTGGCAGCCACATAGTTTCTGTCCATCCCACCTGCCACTGCTTGTACAAGACACATTTCACCAGAAAATGCCAATAAACATAAACAGTTTCATTAACACCATCACTCCACTGTGCCTCATTATTTTAACAGACATATTCTTGTTGATGGGCACAGCTTAAATTTTTAAACCCTAGGAAGCAGCAGGCATGTCTGTTCTTTGTGTGTTTTGCCTCTCATTAATGAGTGCATGGACTTATCTGGCTCAGGGCCCACAGCTGAGGGCTCCAAGCAGTACAGCCTATGGGGAGACACCAAAGCTGCCTCCTGGTCTCACTGCATTTGGCAGCAGGGAGGTCTGAGTGGCTAGACTTAAGTACCTGAATCCACCTTCTTTTCTGTGTCGGTTTTCTATCCTCTCAAATTCCTCAGATGCCAGAACCATCCCACTGTCTGTCTGATTGTCCTGGAAGGAAGCAACAGGAATTATCAGTAACATCCCTGTCGACTATCAGAGCGGGAAGGGAGGAGAAATAATTCAGAAAATGAGATTGTGTGTATGTGTGATGGGGAAAAAGAGGTAGGGACACTTTACCAGCATTCTGCATCTGATTTTCTTAGGTAGCTTCCTAAAAGCAGCACATAAAAAGGTAGGATTTCTGTGTGCAGTTCAGTGTCACTTTTGGGGAAAAAAAAGAGTGCTCCCTGTCTGGAAGGTGTATTACCATCCAATGTATGAGAGGTGAGGTTTTCCTCTGAGACTAAAGGTATGACCGAAGTTTTTCCACTACAGGAGATGTAAGTGCCAGTCCAGTTCAGAGAGACCAGAGGCGTCCATACTGCACAGTGCCACGTGGGTCAAGATGCAGGGGGTGCAGGCAAGCACTCTGGGTTTACCTAGTCCTGGCTGGATTTCAGTGTGCTTAACCAGGCTATGTTCACAGATTTGAGAAGGGTGAAGAGCAGGCTCTTCTCTGAGGTCCTTTATAGTCCCCCTGTTTGCAGATCTATCCTCCCCATTTCCCACTCAGGCAGTGTGAGCTGTGCTGCAGAGAAACCCCTGTGTGCCAGGTGGAGAAAGGAATGTGCACAGGACTTGATGGACTTCACAGGAATGACACAGACAGACTAACATGAGATAGGACTGATCTTCCTTCCACAGTCTTAACAGTAAAGTTGTCAGAAAACAGCTGAACATTTCTTTGCCCCCCTCTCAACTCCACCCAGATGCTGCTCACCGGGTGTGCCTTGTACATTGTGTGTGTCATGGGAAACTCTTCAAATGTCTTTATCCTGGATGGGCACCTGATCTGATTTCCTCCCGTCAAACAACCAGGGAACGAGACACAGTTGTAGTATCTGTAGACAGAAGCACGGTGTGTTCAGTAAAGCCAGCATTCAATGTCCTAAATGAGCAGGACCTGAACCCAACATCCTCACTGTGCAGTCAAAGTATGCAGGGAGGTGGATGACCCAAATGGTGGATTTTGGGAAGGTAATGGGGTCACCTTAGGCCCCTTCATCCCATATTACTTCTGCTGTGGGGGAGCACCCAGACTTCCCAATTGAATCAGGCCCTAATGACCTCTCCACCTGAGGTAAGCAGAAAATCATCATATAGATCCCAGGCATCACATTATCACAGCTCTCCAGAGAGAAGAGGCTTAGGCCTTGTTGTTTGAGTTTGTTAGCAACAAGTAAGGATGAAACTCCTTACATGGTCCTTTGGCAGCATAGCTGGAGTCAGAAGAAGGAATGTCATAGGCTTACACATTAAGGGCTCTTTCTCATTATCAAAATCAAGTCATTTTGCTTTTATAAGCAAGATGCTATGGCCTAAATGCTTGGATCACATCTTATCACCTGGGATTTTTCCAGCATCTGGGTTCTCCCTCTATCCTTCAGGGCTCCTTACAGCTCAGGCTGCTGGCTGCCTGCTGGGCATTCTCTACCCTTTTCAGAGGGAATTCACCTTGCTGCTAGGCTGTGGCAGCGTATCCTCATGTCGAAGTCCTCTTCATCTGAGTTTTGCTGGGCAGAGGAAGGCACCTGGGAGAACCCATCATCTTCTGAGCTGTGAGAGTCGTTCAGTGGGATGTAATCCTTCCCTTCCTGGTAGGAAAAACAGTGAGTGGCCTTGCAAGAAGGGGAAGGCTTTCCCACAAGAAAGAGTTTCACAAGCAGAAACTGTCAGAGCTGGGAAGGAAAATTTCTGGTTTGTGTATTTTCTTCCTCTGGGACAAAATATCTGGCTGGAGATTTCTGTGCCCTTTGCATAAGTAGCTGTGAATGATGCATGGAGGTGTGTGAGCAGGAAAACAACGTAATCCCACAGTTCTCTGCCTTACATGGACAGAGCATTGTGCTCCAGGGCAACTGTGGCTTAGTCACTGTGGCTTAGTCATGCATGTGAGGGGAACTAGTGCTGAAAGGTTAAAGTCAGGGACGTCAGGATGAGACAGTACTCAAGCATTTAGCTATCAGCTTCTGAAAGGGAACGTCAAGAAAAAGTTAAAAGAGCTGTAAGATCATCGTAGTTAGATGTCCTGTTGAGCTACTGCATGGAAGTGATTAGTAACAGTTTCAAAGAAAACTGTATAGCTGGCTGCTGTAACGTAACAGTTGTTTTGTTCACATGGCCCTGACATTTCAATCTGAGGGCAGAGTTTCAGAAACCCTGGTCAAGTTCTGGTTTTCATTATGCAGGCGTGTGGGAAGCAGAAGTACCAGGGCCTTGACTCAGCTGAAGAATTTCAAATAATCATCTGGGGATTAGGACGGAAATACTGGAATGACGACTAAGAGGGCATCCACCCTGCAAGGAGTGGAGTTATATGAGGATGCAGCTAGAGGGCTGTCACAGAAATGAGTTCTCCAACAGCTCTGGGAAACAGATCTCTGATCCAGGTATCCCTGTGTTATTGGTGGCCTATGCAAAGATACTGCATTGACCACAGAATCAGCAGAGGGCACAGCGAGAGAGATAGAAATGGGAGAAGAAAGAGCTGTCCGAAGCTGAGCAGGGACACAGAGAGGTTTTCACCTGCTGGACGTTTTCCTGAAGAAGGTTCCCCAGTATCTCCACTAGGTCGGAGAAAGTCGGTCTCTCCTTGGGATCACCGTGCCAGCAGCTCAGCATTATACGGTAGCTGCCAAGAAGAGATGCTGGTTTTATGCAACAGAAACCCCCTCCTACCTCTCTCCACAGGTCCTACCCACATAGTTCCCACAATAGCTTCACTGTGAGGGAAAGCTTGGCACCCCCCAGCACGCTGGCCAGGTGGACTTGCTGGAAGGGTGTTGGTTTGTTATGCACTGAATATAAGAGGGCACGAGGAGCTGATTCAGGCACCTCTGGTACCCTTTGGAGCAGAAAAGCACATTGCCCACTTACAGACCCATCCCAGCACACAAAGGTACCTAGAGAGCTCCAATCCTAACCTATCTGGCTTGCTCTCCAGGCAGCTGACTGGAGTGAAGGATGTGTTGGCCCATTCCCCACTCTGTCTGAAAGGTCTGCATCCCACAGAGGGGCTTGTCTTGCCCTAGGCTGGGATCTGGAAGGTTTCTGCCTTTGCACAGAGGGCTCTGCTCTGACCAGTGTGGGATCCATGAGGTTTCTGACTCACATTTCTGCCGTGGCGTACTCTGGGGCTCTCATCCTGGTACCGTCTTTGAGCCTCTGGCAGAACTCCTCGTTGATCTGGACTCCAGGATATGGAGATGCCCCTAAAGAAAGTTCAGAGAAGGGTGGGAACATGAAATGTACCCTCAGAAACCAGTCCTTCTGAGACTGCCCTTCCTGCCAAAATACCGGGAGATGTGGTCATTTCTCATACACAGCCCAAGTTCTTGGTGCTGCCCAAATCAGGCTTCTCTGTCTCGGCATGCAGAGGCCACCTCTGAACGCCTGCATTCCCATCACTCTGTTCATAGGTGGATATGGCCTCCATATTTTTTTTGCCTACATTGGTGTCACTTCCCATAAGTCCTTAGATGTGCTTCAGAATGTCAAGGCCTCCTGCACAGACTCACCCACCAAACTACTACGTGTGTAGAGATGTTTCCCTCAGCAGCATGATATCCTCATTACCACTCACCTAGTGAGAAGATTTCCCAGAGGAGGACCCCAAAGGACCAGACATCACTCTGTGTAGTGTAAACCTTGTCAAAGATGCTTTCTGGAGCCATCCACTTCAGTGGGAGACGGGCCTGCAGGAGGAAGAAGCAAGGCACAAGCATTTAGTCAGGCACGTGAAGTAGGACAGCCCTTCTTGTTGCAAAGGGATGAAAGGGATGAAAGGGATGAAAGGAAATCAGAACTGATAGCCCTGCTCCTCTCTCCGTGGAGGGATGGAGGTTTGGTTAGGTCAGAGAGGGATGGAGACACTGGTGGAGGAGGACAGGACATTTGTCATTGGGCAAATGGCTTCTGGTCCCAGCCATGCAAGTGGTTCCACTCCTCCTTTCTCATCTTTTTGTCAAGGGGGCCTAATCTGTTGAGGGTTTGAGAAGATGGCACTCACACTGCCTTTCCTGACATAGTCAGGGTCCTTGTAGATGTCCCGGGCCAGGCCGAAGTCACAGATCTTTACCACGTTGTTCTCTGACAGCAGGATATTGCGAGCTGCCAGGTCTCTGTGGATGCACTGAGGGCACACAAAGAGGATGGGGCAAAATCAGAGGGATAGGAACAACAATCAGAAAGTGCAGAGCACCTCCCTCCCCCCTGTGAGCCTGAGCTGTAATGGGGAAATGGAGGAAGTGGGCAGGAGCTAAAGATAAAAATTTCAGAAGGGGATGGTTAAGGAGAGGTTGAAATACAGGACTAATTTCCCGTCTTTGTGTACACATGACTACCTCAGATTTCTTGAGAAGTGAGAGGTAGATCACGGAATCTCTCCGTGTGTCACCTGTAAAGCAGCTGTAAGCAGGTCTTCTCTCATCATGCATGCACAAAAGATCAGGTGAGCAAAGAAAAGGGTGAACTCACCTTTCGAGATGCCAGGAACTCCATGCCACGTGCTACCTGGAAGCTGTAGCAAATCAGGTCTTCCATTGTCAAGGGACTTTGCCACAAGTCATCCACTATCCAGGAGTACAAGAAAATGATTAGACAGTGAGCAATCTGTTGTCCTGCTTGCCTCTCTCCAGGACTCATGGGGTATAGCCAGTCTCTCAGTGAGATACAGCTAGTTCTCAGTGGTAACTGGAGTAATCAGCTCCCCTCTAAGATTTTCTGCTTAGGTGGCAGGAGACACATGGCAGGAACCTGCTCAAGTGTGAGGAGAATGAGTCCAGCCTCCAGCACATGTCAGTCAGACAGAGTTGTGGGGAACAGGACTGGAACAGACTTTGAAGGTCAGTTCATCATTCCCGTCCTAGGGAGGACCCACTGAGATCCCCCTCAATTCTCCTTTCTTTAGGCTAAAAAACCCCAAAGGAATTTAATCCTCTCTTCTGGGTTTATAGAGTCTATTACAAGAGACAAGAGATGATGTCACAGCCCTGTTCAGGGAATGGCCGTGCAACAGTGATCAGCTCCAAGGCTGAGTCCCAGCTCCCCACTGATATTCCCTACCCTTCACCCAAACTAGCCAAGTCTGGCATTTTTTTGGTGGCCCAGGTGAGGAGCTGCTGCCAAGGCTGGAGCATTACCTTCCTGGATGGGGTGTGCTGTCTGGCTCTTGTGCATGAGGAAGCGGTGGAAGATGGCGCTGTCGCTGGTCCCGGAGCGGCTCCTCCTGTCTGCTCTCACGGCCTCCACGATGGACTGCACCTGGATACGCAGCCTGGGAGACTTCTCCTGGCAAGGGGACCACATCAAAACCCTCAGCAGGCAACACACATTGTAACCCCTGCACCCACGCTCTGCACAGTCTTTTCCTGTTCTTAAATCAATCTTCCATTGCAGAAAGGACAGAGGGTGTCTTTGTCACACTGTCAGATCATGCATCAGGCTGCACATCTTCCTTCCCTAGACATGGGATAGGTCCCTAGGGGCAAAGGAAGCTACTTACCCTGTAAGGACTGAATCCTTCCCTCTTGGTCCGCAGGTAGTTGGAGAGGTTGCCATATTTGCAGAACTCAACAATAACCATGAGTGGACCTGGTGAGAAGACACCAAGGGTCAGGGCAAGAGGTAAGGGCTTGAGCTGGTCAGAATTTACCCCCACTCATGTTATGTGCAGTCCCACCGAGCTGTGACATCTGTCCTAAGTGCACACAAACACACTGATAACCTCCTCACACGTCCCTGTGATCACACTTGTGGCCAGCAAAAAGGGCACGGGACAAGCACTTATCTCTGGGAGCAGGCACAGCCTGTTGCCCTGGGATACTTACCATTGGGTTTGGTACAGGCACCCAGCAAATTCACCACGTTGAGGTGATTCCCAATGTGAATGAGGATCTTCAGCTCTGACATCAGTGCCTTGTGCTCGCTCGCGGTAGCTCCCTCTGGAAACACACAGACCATGTTATGATGCCTCCTCACAGCTTTTCACTCCCCCTCACCACCCTCCTCTTAGCAGCATGTTAATATGAGTCTTGCTGAGGAGGCTGTGCCCTCAGAGCCTCGGTACATTTTGTTACTGTGTGTTCCTACATGAAATGTCAAGCCTTGTCTGGAGATCCCAGGATCCCTGCTGTAACATGTACCATGCTCTCTGCAGGTGCAGGGACCCAGGGCAAAGGACAACACAATCTGTGCCCAACAGATTTTTCCTTGTGATAGCTATGCAGTGAAAAAGATCACTTGAGGCTTACATACAGATGCACCCGTTTGAATCTCTGCCCTTTCAGCCTCCAAACAGAAATAACGAGCCATAAAACAATTAGGAACAAAAGACATCTGATTCTTTTTATCACAATTGAAGATAGGAGCTGTCTCAACTCAAACTCGGATATCTTTTTATGATTCCAATAGCAAGCACAGTGTCATGCCCCTGCCATCTCTCTGTACTTCATCTTCTCTCAAGCGCCAAATTCACATCAATTCTTGACCCTCTGTTTTACCCTCAGGGTGTGTTCTCTGGTTTTGTGTGCCTTTTCATACTTCTCACTTCCCCATATGCATTTTGTCTTAGTTGAGAGTTTGTAAATTTAGCCTGAGATACAGAAGCATCCTCTTGAGCTGCAGCTGATGGGCCAGGTGAGAGCCATGCCTCAAAGGACTGTAAAGCAATCTTGCATGACAGGCTTCCCCCTGCATTGCTGTGCAGAGCATCTGTACACTTGCAGTGGTAAGTAGTGCGCAGATGAGCCATGACTTGGTTTCCACATACAGGACACTTTTGGCCAGAGACTGCCTCAGTGTTTCGTTTGGTGCCAAATTACAGAATAATGTTTTGGATGCCTGATTGAAAGAACAGCTATAAAATCTTAAAATCTCACTATGGATTGACCAGGCTTTGGGTGCAAAGCCAATTTAGCCCTCAGAGCTGGGTAAGAGCTGCAACCTCCTTCCTTACCCAGCTCTGAATCTGTCCCATAAACACAAAATACAGGCACATTTGGAAGAAGGCAATTGGGAGCAACACTTCCTTTAGTGACCTGCCAAAGAGGGGCTTCAGATCTCTGTTTGTCCTTTGAGACAGATTTCATTCTTTGCCTTTGAAGACAGCTAAATTTCCTTGAAAGCTGAGTTCCTGAAGTCTCTACTGTCTGTACTGCCACTTGCCTCCCAGTGCAGCTGAATGGGGACAAAGCATCCATGAGAGGATGACAAGAGCATCAACTGTGTTGAGGCCAAGAAGCCATTAATTAAGACAGGCATTTGCAGAGTGGACATTTCCTGGCAGGTGCTTCATTCGTTGCTGTCTACACACACTACATGTTTTACTTCACTGTCCACATACCTTTCAGCATTTTGACTGCTACGGTCTCACAGCTGTTACTTTTATTGATCCCAAATGCTGATGCTTCCACCACCTTCCCGAAGGCACCGTGACCCAGGACTTTACCTATGGACAAGGAAAGAGGCAGTGTGAAGAAAGGCAGGTGCAGAACAGGCAGAATAGAATGAAAGAAAACAAAAATCCCAACAGGAAACCATGGGAAGAAGAAAGAAAAAAATATCATAAAGGAAAAGGAAGGAATGGAACATGTGCCCTTTCAGGTGGCTGCTTGCTGTGATGATGGGAGGAACTGAGACAGAGCTGGCATGGACAAAGCAGAGGAAGGAAATGGCCCTGCAGAAGTGAGGGGCTGTTTGTTGCCCTCAAGCAACAAGTTGTTGTGTGTGGGAAAGGTAAACATGACCCCTTGCAGCAGAGCAGCCAGGGCTAATGTCACTGCTCTGTGCCTCAAAGGTAGTCTGCTGCTCTTTAAACCCTGCCAGACAGAGAACAGGGAGTGCAGGTGGGTGTCTCAGCACGAGGACAATAAAGGATGCGGTCCTGGTGCCAAACTCGGGTACCTGCTGTGAACTGGACTGCTCTGTCCAGACTGCCACTTGGAGAATATGGGGATGTGTTTTAAAGCATGCCCCGGGGTCTTCTGGTCTCAGAGACGCCTGTGTGGGTACTTTGAAAGAGTCTGGGCTTACAGCTGGCTCAGACCTGTCCGTAGTCAGAGCCAAAGAGATTTCCCAGGCACAGCTGGGCTTTAGGGACAGTCTGGGGAAGAAGATGGGAAGCCTGAGGCAGAGAGAAAGCATTAAATGCACAGAAGTATGTAAGAAACCTGGAGGGTGAGTTTGAAGGGCTGGTGGGAAGTCCTGACCACAGCATGCAGTGGCAGGGAGGGGTCTGGCTCACCCAGGCGCAGGCGATCTCGTGGGAACTCCCACTTGCTGGAATCATAGGGCAGGTACTCGCACTGCTCCTCCAAGGGCACCTCGCCGGGGTCCATGATGATGGAGAGGTAGCCTGTCTTGATGTCTGCGTGGGCAGGCTGCAGGAATTAGCCAACACAAAGGGTGAGGAGGTGCCCTCCCTGCCCTGGGTGCTGAATCCCAGAGGGGATTTGTATTCTTTGCCTGCCTTAACTTGCTACCCCCTAGCAAAGGCCATTCCCTGTCACCTCCTTTACCACTGTCCTTATGCACCCTGTCCTTGGCAGTGAGAGCACTTGAAGATTCACTCAGTGACCTTCTTTTTCTTAGTGGGTGATGTCATGCAGCTCCACATCACCGCAGTGGTGTTGCCCCAAGCCCTGCTATGTCACCTTCCCTGCCTGGCACAGAGACAGTCACGTACCCTTTTGATGTTGCAGAAGATGAGAATAAGGAGGATCCAGAAGAATACAGCAATAACACCAGTCCCAATCAGGATGACAATCTCCACATTGGTCCTGTCATCAGAGCCTGTGGAGTGGGAGGGAAATTGTAGCTTCAGAGATTCCCACTCTGTGACCCAGCTCAGCCATCCGTTGTGGCCTGCATCAGGTGACTGGGGATGTGCTTGCCTGAGCTAAACATGCTCTAGACTACAGAGTAGAGCACCATGCCACCAGCAAGGCCAAGGGGCTTTCACTGCCTCCCATTGTCACAGGGAAGAGGTGTGGGACCTTGCCCACAACTCTTACTCTGTCCCTTCATCCCCAGGGGAGTTGTGGCTGCTGGTACCTTCCACAGAGACGCTGGCTGAGGAGTTCACACAGCCCTTGGCATTGCAGACGCTGCACAGGTAGAGCCCAGCATCCTCCTCTCTCACCCTCTGAATGCTCAGCCTCTGGTTGAAGTCCGCCAGGTCAATCCCTGTAAGGCACAGAGAGTTGTGGTGGTCACTCACAGGGAGGGAAGATTAGTGTACTAGACTCACTCAGGCTCAAAATCAGGCTCCTGTTTTTTGGCTGATTCATTTTAGATGTCAGAATGAAATCACACCAGCTGGTAGAGGCTCTTCTATGGCCTGATGGCCTCAGAAATACCCTATAGGGGCTTTCGCCAGGCAAGGTATGGAGGGGACAAATCCCACACCAAGCATGCTGGATAGGGACAGTGCCCAGGCAGTTCAGCTGCTGTGTCAAGTTCTGCTTCAGCTTCAGGATCTGTCCTTTTCCCTATGCAACGTGCCTGGATCCTTCCCAGGTTCCTTCTATGAGATCTGGGTTGCTCTCTGCTTAAGCAGAGATGCCAGGCACTGGGCTGAGAGTAACAACATGAATGATTTATCTCTCTCTGCTCTCCAGCTGCACGTGCACATGCACAGACAGTACTGAGCCAGGCCCTGGGGCATAGACTTGGCCAGTGAGACTGCATCAAACTGGGACAGAATTTGATTAAAACAAGAGTCTGGCCAATTCAGAGAACGAGTGCCTTTGCCTGGGCACAGCAACTCCCAGAACTCAGCAGTGTTCAGATCTCCAACAGCTGAACACTATGCCCTGCCTTTGATTCATCCCCAGCCCACTGTACCTGACACTTCTTCCACCAGTTTCTCGTCTTTGTACCAGCTGATTGCAGGAATGTGGTTGCCGTCCACCTTACAGCGCATCTCTATGGAGTCGCTGACGTTCACCCAAATGTCTGTCAGGTTCTGCTTGAGGCGGGGGATCTCCAGGGCTGGAGGAGCAGCACAAAGAGGAGGAGGGGAAAACGGGAAACTGATTGATCAAAAGAATATCTGTGTTCCTGGGGGGCTTTGGGTCTCGGACCCCTGCTGAAGGGTGTCTTGAGAACCCAGGTGCCCTGCCTTTGCCACCTTGAGTTTAGCTTGCTTGTGTGGCTTCCCCTGGGGATGGACTGGGAAGCTCATGGCAGCAAGAGCGCCAGCTCTCCTCTGTCACTCCCACCAGCCCTGTGGACCCTCACCCTGCACAGAGATGTATTTCTTGTGGCAGTGTTTCTCCCGGGTCTTCCTGTTCTGCACCTCACACACGTAGTCTCCCTCCTCATTCAGGGAGATGTTGGGAATGGTGAGCAGCAAAGTGGCATCATTGGAGTGGGGCTGAAAGCGCAGTTCCCCCTGCATCTTGGTGGCATAGTGGTGGACATTCTTACAGTCCAGCACAAGGGGATTGCCCTCTTCATCGTGGAGCTTGGAGAGGTTCAGCCGATACCACTGCAGGTTCTCATAGGTGTAGTTGTCTGCATTGCAGCTCAGCTGTAGGTCCTGCCCCTCTATGGGCTCTTCTGAGGGCTGGGACTCAATCTCGAACCCGTCTGGAATGGCTTTCAGGAAGGAAATGAACATGTGAATGAGTTTTCATGGCTGAGCTGCCAGACACAATGAAACTGGCTCCTTGGGCTCAGCTCTCTGAGATCCGCCTGTCCTCAGGGTAAACAAAACCACTGCAGAGTAGAACTGTGACATGCAAACTGCTGGCAAGCACAGCTTAAGCCCAGCGAGTGTTATGGGATATTCTGAAGTCCCTGGGTCAGATTAAGATGGGGTCACAAAAGAAGCAAGCCGGGGAGGTCTCAGTTGGGCTGTTACTGCTCTCAGCTCAGCTGCACCCTTTTGGTTTGCACACATGCCTGCTTTTACATGTGCAGACAGTGACACAGCAGCCTGGACAGCTGCACGTGTGGAGATTCCTGGAGCAGCCACTGAAGATGTGCACCTGGCTCCACAACAGCTGGTGGATCTGACAGCACAGGCACTACCACGAGGGCCATGAGCCCAGCCTTCTGGGGTCTGTCCATAAGATAAGTCTCTGCTGTGCCCTTGCTGGACTCCCTGTCCCAATGGACAGGGACAGACTCCTGCCAGTACGGGGTACTGCTGACAGGAGGCTTATCAGCCCCATATGGGCCATGACTCCAGCCCACACTGCTGGGCTCTGGCTTCTACGAACTCATCTTCCTCCCATCACCAAACTCCCGTGGGGACTCTGCCAGGGCTTCAGGCCAGCGGGACGTGGCCTGGGAATGGGTCGGGTGGTGCCACTAGAGGATGCTCTTGGACCAGGCACATCCCCAGACCAGGGAGCTGCCTGGGCCTGAGCCAGAAGTCTATCCCCAGCCCAGGACCTGCCCAGAACCTGACAGGGCTGCTCCAGGACCTAGGCACAGGCAGCCCCGGCTCGCCCCCAGGTCTGCCTGCCAAACTCTGCCTGCCAAACTCTGCCTGTGCTATCTGCTGCCAGCCCTGCTTTCCTTCTGGCTTCCCAGTCACTGTTGAAGGTCCTAACTGCGAAGGGCAGGACCCAGCAGCTCTAGGGACCTGCCTTTTCCCAGCAGAGAGCTCGGCTGGTGCAGGGAGAGGGGAGGTTTGCAGTACTCACTGGTCACGTAGAAGTAGATGAGCCGCTCGTCTCGACCCACTTTATTAGAGGCAATACACTTGTACATGGCTGAGTTGTTGGCCTCCTGGATGGCCAGTTTGCTGACTGTCTGGTGGGGGAAGAGAGCGTAAGGAGGAATTAGGAAGAGCAAGGGAGAAGAGAAGTAGGATCACTGCTGCTCTCTGTCAGGCAGCAAAGCCCACAGCAAGCCTAGCTCCAGGCAGCAGCTACACCTGGGAAAGGGTTATGCAAAAATAGCCCCTTATTCAATAGCCCTTTGTGCATTTCAAGCCTAAAAGTTGGCTCTAGCAACAACAACATGATTTTATTCCCAAACTCTTCTCCTTTTTATAGAGCCCAGTCAGCATAGATGCCTCACCATGGAAGCAAAGTTCTTGCTGAGCCCCTCGGGTCACCATGGGGACAGATACAGCCCCCCTTGCTGTGCTCAGCAAGGGGGACAGTAACATGATGCAGGTCTGAGGGGATGGCTAAGCTCCTGCCAAGCTTTATGAGGAGAAAGGGAAAGGACACCAGGGCTCTGATTCCCTGAGCCCCCTGCAGTTAAGTGACTACTTAGTGTCCTGTAGGTTCAGTGGAATTTACAGGTACTTACAGGCCTGCCAGCACTCCTTTTATCCATAAGGAGAAATCAAACCTATGAAAGCATCCCAGCTCTCACCAATTCAGGAAGGACAGTCATTTTCTTGCTTTAAATTTCAAGTGTACATAGACACAGTCCTAAAAGCTTCCTCTTCCATCTTTCTAGCAAGACATGACTGAGATTGGGCAAACAGCCAGGCTGCCATCCTGGGAGCATGGACCCAGGAGATGCCGCTTCCAAATAAGCCAGGAAAAGCAGCTGGGGAATAAGGCTGCTCTCCTCCTCCTGCTGGCTCACATTGTACATGTGTGAGCTGCTGAATGTGTTACAAGCACTCCCCTTAGAGGAGACCTGCAGTTTGAAGCTCCAGTTTAAATGACAAGTTAATCACACGCAGAAATCCCTCTAATGAGACAATGTCTAAAATGCAAAAATAATGTGTTCCTACTTCGCCTTACAAAGGGAAACTACTTTGCCTTTACTATTCATCCCACAGACTTGGGGAAGCATTTCCGTTGTAAGTGGCAATGCATTAGCTTGGGTTAACCAGAAGGAACAGTCATTCATTCAGGGCCTACTCAATGCAGCTGAAGTGACCTTATTACTAGTACTTTTGTGCATTGCCTTTTCCGTTTCTTGGGGTTATTCAGTACAGCTGAAGTGACCCTATTGCTGGCACTTTCGTGTGCTGCCTTTCCTGTTTCTTGGGCATTTTCCTTCTAATCCGCAGTGTCACGTAGGAGCTGGGGTTTCTGGATCTGACATCATCCTGCTGCCTGCAGTGCATGGTTGTGCCCTGCATACCCTGTGGTTCGTTCTGGCCTTACCAGACAGAATAAAACCCAGGAGGATGGTAAAAGAAGACAGGCAGAAAGGAACAGAGGGAGTGAAAGCAGATTTGAGAACATAGCATCCCACTCTTTTCTCCTAAAGGTCTTGCACATCCCTGGGATGCACAACCTAGTTTGAAGCTCCTGGACAATTACAACCAAACAGATGGAATGAGAGGGACACAGCTGAGGAATAGGAGGGAGAGAATGAGGAAAATAGGGAAAGATCAAAAAAGACCAAGATGAGTGTCACAACTGGAGAGGGACACAAGGGCTTCTCACTCAGGAGCTCCCACCACCCGTGCTTTCCTCCCTGGGGGACACCAACTGCTGCCTCTCCCTTCAGTTGCCCTGGGAGGAGAAGCATCTGCTCTTGCCACTCTTTTGGCAGAGTGATGAACTCCCAGCCAGGCCAGGGGACGGGAAGTGCCTTTAGAGGTGTGTAGGAAAACAGGAAGTGACTTTCGGAAACAGGGGCCCATTTGTTTGTTCTGCATCCCCCTGTGAGCGGCTGGTGCCCGACACCAGCGGGAACAGGAACCCCGTCACGGCGCAGACCTGACACTCACGGCTACCAGAGAGGCAGAAAGAAACAGGCAGCAAGCAGGTCACACACTACACACTGCAATGAGGGAGAGAGGTTCCTTCCAGAAAGGAAATGCTGTGATGGAGAAGTGGGCTCTGTGGGGCACACGTGCTCTCACTCACAAACCTGCAGTGGAGGGATGCCACCATCTCCATACCACCCTGACCCCCCTGGGTTAGGGACAGCTGGATGAAATGCCCCACCAGACACATGCACATTCCCAGGGCCAGGGATTTCCTGGCCAGTTTGTGACTCCTGCTTTCCTGCCCAGGCTGCTCTGCAGGGTTTGGCTCTACAAGATCAGCCTGTGCTCAGAAATGGCCAAGGGAGCCCTCATAGCACACGTCCCTCATGCCCTCCCTAGCTGGATGCCCTGTGTTCAACAGCAATCCATGTAACCCCTCCTGTGCAGCCAGCCCTGGTGGGAGCCTCTCTGGTCACAGGGTAATTTGTCAGAGATGACAGCTCTCCCTCTACCTGGGGCTGCCTGATACTGCAGAGCCCCAGGGCTGGGAATGGCTGCTGATGGTTCATTTCAGAAGCAGAGGTGTGAAGCTCTCCCCAAATCTGTCTCTGCCAGGCTCCTTTCCAGCCTGCTTTTGCTGGATGATGGCAAAGGATCTCTGTGCCTGTCTCCAGCTCCCTGCCCCAGGATGGGTTTGAGATACA